TCTTAAAGAGACCGTGAGCCTGCTCTTCTGTTTAGTTTGCTTGAAACCACTGAGGTGTTTTGGAAACATACTCTTACCAATAATCATACTCTGTGGTATTTAACCAAAGGAGTTGAAAACGTACTTTCACACAAAAGCCCTGCCCATGCATGTTTATGGCAGCTTTATGTATAATTGCCAAAACTTGGAAGCAAACAAGATGTCCTTCAGTGGGTGAATGGCCAAATAAACCCTAGTCCATAGAGACATTGAAATATTACTCAGCACTAAAAAGAAATGAGCTATTAAGTTGTGAAAAGACGTGGAGAAAATGCCTATTACTAAGCGAAAGTAGACCATCTGCAAAGGCCAAGCCCTGTTTAATTTAAAATACATGACATTCTGGAAAAGGCAACTTACAGCAACAGTAAAAATATGATTTCCAGGGGGTAGAGGAGGGAAGGGATGAATAAGCAGAGCACAGAGGGACTTTAGAACAGTAAAACTACTGCACATGACACGATCATGTTGGATACAGGTCATATATTTGTCCAAACCCACGACACACACAATCTCAAGAGTGAACCTGAGGTTACACTGTGGGCTCTGGATGACTAAGATGCACAGTGCACAGGCTTCATTTGTAAGAAATGTGCTGCTCTGACGGAGGACGTGGATCATGATGGAGACCCTGCAAGTGTGGAGACGGGATATCTCTGTACCTGCCACTTAATTTTGCTGTAAATCTGAAACTACTCTAAAACATAAAGTCTATAAAATCATGCTGATTTTTTATTTAATTAATTAAATAAAAATTGAAGTTCTAATTTGAATGCACAAACCACCTTTATCTTTGAGCCCAGATAGACAGAATTTTTATTATGTATTATTATTAATTCACCTAATCTGAATACATATTTCATAGGATTCTATTTTGCACATAAAGTGGTAAATTAATGTCAAATGTTTAATATTTTACTTAGCATTATCATATTAATTTAGAGGTTTTTTATTATATTCTTATCAGTTCTTTTATATAAGTTCTTTACATTGATGGAGACACAGAAGTTTTTGTCAAATAGAATTACATATATTAGCCTTCAAGTGTTCCTTATTTAAAGACAACCCTAAAAAATAATAATATTAAGGAAACTATTATCCTGATCTGTTATGTTTATGAGTTCTTTGCTATCTTATTTGTTTATACATACATATATATACACACACACACACACACACATATATATATATGTATGTGATACATTGGACATTATAATTTCTTTTCATTCATTTTTTTCCTTCTACATATAGTATTTTTAATTCAATTCTCACAAAGCTCAGTTTAGAACCCATTCCTTATACTTTTGATATTTCATTATTTTCATAATTACAATTGACCCATTACATGGAAACTTAGTTTAAGGCTACTCAAAGCCATTACTCTGATCTACTGAGGGACTTCAGAAGTGGTTCTCCTGCCTTGCCCTCTCCTAGCTTATGTCATCTCAATCATGTGCTCCCTCCTGTTTCACAGAAACACAGGCTCCTTTTGGTTTGTTTTTAAGGTCATTCTTAATTTACTCTTTTATTAAAAACTGCCATTAGTGACTTCATGTGTGAGCCTTAAGAATATCATGCTTAAGTAAGATAAGTCAGACAGAAAAAGTTAAGAGCCACATGATTTTTACACATGTGTGGGATATAAAACTTAAAGCAACAAATAAGCAAATAAGAAAAACAAAAACTCGCAGATACAGTCAACAGTATGATGGTTACCAGAGGGAAGAGAAGTGGGGCAGGGGGTAGTAAAGGATAAAGGAGGTCAAGTATATGGTGACAGCTTGGGTGGTGGGCATACAATGATCATGTATTATAGAAATGTACACTTGAAACCTCTATGATGTTTTTAACCAATGCCACCCCAATACATTTCAAAATAATAAGAACGTACCTAACAGCCATCTCATTTTGTTATGTATAGGTGCATATACTTTGTATTTTTTAATGATCACCTGATTGTATTATTTCTTCATTGCTTTTTACAGAAGTGGAAGGAAAGGAGGGAACCCACAGCCCAGACACATGCTCTTGACTGATAATCCACCGATTACCCTTGGGTTGGTGTGCCGATATTCTAATCACTGAACACACCAGCCAGGACTGTTGGGTGCATAACTTTTAAATTTATTTATTTTTATTTTTTATTTTTTTAAATTAAATTATATGTGTACATATATTACTGTTACCAACCCCAGCTCCCATACATGCCCTCCCTCCCCAGAGTTTTGTGTCCATTGATTACACTTATATGCATGCATACAAGTCCTTCCGTTGATCTCTTATCTCCTCCATATCTCCCTCCCCTCCCCGCTGTAATTTGACAGTCTGCTTGTTGCTTTACTGTCTACATATCTATATTTTGTTCCTCAGTTTATAATGTTCTTTATTATCCATAAATGAGTGATGTTATGTGGTGTTTCTCTTTCATTGATTGGGTGCATATCTTAATCTTTGTGGCTGGTAGAGAAATTCCCTTTCTTTCCAAAGGCCAAGGTTCCGCAGACTTCTAGGTTTCAAATTTAAAATAGATCTATTGTTTGTATCTCCCTCAATTTCTTTTCTTTTAAAAAAATATATTTTATTGATCATTACAGAGAGGAAGAGAGAGAGATAGTTAGAAACATCAATGAGAGAGACTCATCGATCAGCTGCCTCTTGCACACCCCCTAATGGGGATGAGCCCACAGCCAAGGTACACGCCCTTGACCGGAATCGAACACGGAACCCTTCAGTCCACAGGCTGATGCTCTATCCACTGAGCCCAACTGGTTTCGCCTAGAATTGCTTCTTAATTTCTCTTTCTGATAGTTTATTAATGGTCTATAAAAATGCCAAAATTTCTGAATATTACTTTTGTAGCCTGCTAATTTATTGAATTCCTTTATCACTTATAGTTTTTTGGTGGTGTCTATGGTTTTCAGAATATAGTATCTTGTCATCTACAAATAATAGCTTTACTTCTTTCTTTCCAATTTGGATGCCTTTTATTTCTCTTACTAGTCTGATTGCTGTGGCTAGAACTTCCAAGGCTGTGCCAATTAAGAGCGGTGAAAGCAGACATCACTCTCTTATTCCTGATATTAAGGGAAACACTTGGTTTTTGCACATCGAGTAGGATGTGAGCTATCATATATGGTCTTTATTATATTGATGTGTGTTCCCGCTATTCCCACTCTCTTGAGCATTCTGCCTTATGAACCAGCAATTCCACTTCTGGTAATATATCCGAGGAAACCTGAAACACTGATTCAAAAGAATATATGCACCCCCATCTTCATTGCAGTGTTATTAACAATAGCCACGATTTGGAAGCAGCCCAAGTGCCCCTCAGTAGATGAGCAGATGGAAAACCTTTGGTACATTTACACAATGAGATGCCACTCAGGCATAGAAAAGAAGAAAATCTTACCTTTTGCAACAACATGGATGGAAATGGAGATTATTACACTAAGTGTAATAAGCCCATCAGAGGAAAACAAATGCCATAGGATCTCACTTAGATGTGGAATCTAATGAACAGAACATTTAAGCAAACAAAATAGAAAGAGAAGCACAGCTGTATAGATCAGATTGACGGCTGGGTGGTTGGGGGCCGGATTAAATGAGGTGGGTGCAATAAGGGGGAGGTTGAAAGTATTGTAGTAAGGAAGAAATAAATGGCGATCTAAATAACTTTAGTTTGGGTGATCAATCTGCAGATGATGTTTTATTGAGTTATAGAGCACTTGAAACCTGTATTGTTTTATTATCCATTGTCAAACCAAGAAATTCAATACAAATACTAAAAAATTACAAAAAACAAAAAAACAAAAAACCAAAACAAACAAAACTCATTTCTGCCTCGCATGTGTGGCTTGGTCTTTGAGTGTTGACCTGTGGACATGAGGTCACTGTTCCATTCCTGGTCAGGGCACATGACCCGGCTGCAGGCTCCATACCCAGGGAGGGCAGGAGGTGCAGCAAGCAACTGGTCTAGGATTCTCTCTGATCTTTGACATTTCTATCTCTCCCTCTCCCTTCCTCTCTGAAATCAATACATTTTTTTAAAAAATGATAAAAAATAGCAAACTCTTTCCAAGTCACTCTGTCTTCACCTATCTCTCCCTTCCTCTCTGAAAATCAATAAAAATATAATTTTTAAAAAATTAATAAAAATAGCAAACTTTCTAAGTCACTCTTATCTTCAAGAGAAAACTTTTAAAACATTATTATACTATGATTAAATAAAAGTTATACAATATAAAATTACTATGAATTTAAAACGAAGGCACAACTCATTAATAAGGGAAAATGTTTTTTTTTCAGTGTCCTCAATTTTTAACCTGTAGAAAATTAAAAGCTATCTTATAATACAAAACATAATTTTAGATACTGAATCATTCTTGGGTAGACACTGTAGAAAGTACTAGACATCTTAAGATGTATTGTGTAGTGTACTTAGTATTAGATGTACTGGAATGGGCAGAAAATGACGAGCATAGAGAGGATTTTGAATCTCAACAGGATATATACTTGCATTTTTTTTTTTTTTTAGAAAATGGGGAAAATAATGTAACATATATAGATAATAGACTTATTAGACATCATATAGAAAATAAGGACTCATAGTGAATGCTAAAAATGGAATTGGTTCAATTCCAAAACACCTCAGTGGTTTCAAGCAAACTAAACAGAAGAGCAGGCTCACGGTCTCTTTAAGAACCCCAAGGTTGGTTTGGTCCCGTGATGCAGGGATCGGGGGTGCAGGCCCTTCTCCTCTCCCCGTGCCAGGCTCGGAGCGCTGTCTCTCATCTCCAGCTCTTCCCCTCGTGGTCACAAGACGGCTGCCAAGCACCAGGCATCACCCACAGCAGGAGGAAGCTCGCCAAGGGGCCTTCTAACGCTGCTCTTTGGTTAAAAAAGAGAACTGTCAGCTTGCCCCGGGGCCCCATGGTGGAGAGGCAGGACAGACAGACCAGCTATGCTGACCAACTCAAGCGGAATTCACCAGCTGCAAATCAGGAAACGCCAGTTCCTGGAGGGGTGGGGTGTCAGCGAGGGCCGGTGGCCAGCCTCAAAGATCGCTCTACGACTGGGGCCAAGGTCAGTCTGTGGCCAGGCCTCGGGGTCAGCATGTGCCTGGGCCAATCTACAGCCACGATCACAAAGGAGTCCACGCTGTGGGCCAGGGATCCGTCTATGGCTGGAGTCAGGTATCAGCCTGCAGCCGGGACCGGAAGTCTCTGGCTGAAGTCTCTCTCTCTGGGCCTCTCTTGTCTCCTTCTCCTCTGGAAAGACCTGAGGGAAGCTCAGCCACCTGTCTGTAAGGAGGACAGCAGAGTCCGGGCAGGACCCTATAGCTGGCGTGTGGGGAACCTAAGGGGCGAGAGGAAGACGGCGGGCGGGGCGGGGCGGGGGGAGCAGATATAACGCATGTGGCCACGTGGTGAGAAATGCAGGACACAGACCTCTGTGCACGCACAGTCACCGGCTCTGCACACGGACAACACCTAGAAGTCCCGTGGACGGACACAAACACGAGTTGGTGAAATGACGCCTTCGGGCCCTTGGTCTGGGGTTTCCATTGCTCCCGTCTGTCCTCTCTGCGATAGAGAAATGTGAACGTTAGAATGCCGTTATTTCCTCTATGTCGTACGCCCTCTCCTCCTCACCCCCACAGACCGACTCAGAATGATGAGAAGAATGCCAGCGAACACGTGGACAGGCACTACTGTGAGCCTTACGTGCAATAACAATGTCGGCACTATTATTATTCCTATTTTAGTTGAAGCAAGCTCAGAGAAGTCCCCTGGCTGGCCCCCTCACACAGCCGGTCCTTGGAACACTGGCAGCTCCTAATGTATGTCCACCAGGCCCTTCACCGGGCCCTGGGTGGAGGGGAGGGAGGGAGGTGGGGGCGTGCGGGGGGTTGAGAGGGATCTCCCAGGACTAGTTTTCTGGGCTTGGCAAGCCCTGGGACTGGACCTGGACCTGGCGCTTCTGGAACCACTGAGTCCAGAGTGGGCCACCAGGGGGCAGCAGGGACCAAGGAGCTGGCCTCCAGCCAGGCCAGCCATGCCTGCCTCTCTCTGCTGGCCAGCGGCCTGTGATGTTGTGGGAAAGGTGGGGTTTTGAGGAAGCCTGGCGCCTTCCTGCTGCTGCCAGGGGCCTCAGGCAGGTTCATCACAAGAACACCGGCACCGCCTGGCCTTCGCCCATCGAGACATCTGTCCTCACCCACCTCGGCGGCTGCAGGTGCTTCTCTTATCTGGGGACCAAACGGAGGCCCAGAGAGGCCAAGCACCTGGCCCGTGGTCACACAGCTCCCCGGCAAAGGCAGGGTCAGACAGAGGCAGGATGAGGCAGAGCCTCGCTTCTCTGAGTCTCCGTGTTTGTTCTTGCCTGGAAAGGGGTGTAGGACTGTGGGGGAGGGTGGTTAGGAGTCAGGGTGCATCATGGGCAAGTCCCACCCGCGGTCTCCGCGGCTGTGAGGAGCCGGTGAGGTCACGCCTCCCTTGCAGTGGGGGCTCAGAAAACCTTTGATGTCTTCTTAAATTAATAGCTTTTGTAGGAAAATAACCTCAGAAAATGTATTCAACAGGATGCTAACAGATAGATACGATGCCCACAAGCCACCAGGTGCCAGGGCGGGGCATGGGGCTTCCGGTGGCTTTCACTTTCCTATTTATACCTTCAGGGTTTCTCTGAACCGGAGAAGGCTGGCACATGCCAGTTTAATACCAGAAAAAAAGCGACAAGCAGGTTCTCTGTTTAAAAAAATAAAAAAAGGAAATGAAAAAGCAGATGCACCCACCACCTCGGAAAAACCTCCGTAAAATTAAGTGTGCAGAGCGAAAGCAAGGGCTCTGGAGGCCTCCTGGGGCCAGCTAAGGCCTTCCTCAGGCCCCTACCCACACCCGGCCACGCCCAGCCCCCCTGGGCCGCGCCACCTCCCGTCCAGCCTCCAGGGGGCGCTGGGAAACTCCGCAGCCAGCATAGCTGGGCCCACACCCCTGCCTGCTTCCAGCTCCACCTGAGGGGTGGGCAGGGAGGGGGGCATGAGCTAGGCGCACCCGACTCTCTGACCCTGCCCCCCCTCCCTCCCCCTCCGTCTCTCCGGGTCTGCACCCCCTCCAGGCGGAGAAAACTGAGTTGTATGTGGACTGAAATGACCTGCGCCCTGCTCTGTCCCACACGGACTCAGCGCCACAGGGGCTGTTTAACGTACCGGCTGGTCTGTAACATCTCAGCCCACGTCCTCAGCCTCACAGCCTCATCCAGTGCCACCAGCCCGGCGTGGAGCGGCCTCCGGATGGGCCGTGAGCGTCCCCCGTAAGGAGTTCTGGGGGCAGCCCTGCCCCACTCTCCGCTGTCTGGCTGTAAGACGCTGCCTAAGGTCGTGCATGGAACCTGAGTCCTCTCTTCCTTTCTGATTTCCTTCCTGTAAATTTAAAATAAAGCTGTGATCCATGCTCATATCTTAGATGTATTTTTTAGAAAATATATATTTTATTGATTTTATACAGAGAGGAAGAGAGAGAGAGATAGTTAGAAACATCAGCTGCCTCCTGCACACCCCCCACCGGGGATGTGCCTGCAACCAAGGTACATGCCCTTGACTGGAATCGAACCCGGGACCTTTCAGTCCCCAAGCCGACGCTCTATCCACTGAGCCAAACCGGTTTCGGCTTAGATGTATTTTTGGTTTAGCCATTGCCTGTCAGGGAGTGCTATTCGAATGAAGGCATGGATCCCAGGCCTGGTGTGGGCAGTCCCACCCAGGAGGGTAGGCATAAGCCAGAGAGTGTGGATGGTTGGGGGTGGGGAGAGAGAAGTTGGGGCTCCCCTGTCAGGCTTAACCATCGGCAGTGGCAGCAGAAGTGGGAGCCTGCAGAGACTCACAGGGAAGTTCAGAGGAGCCTGGAGCAGTGGGCAGGGCTGAGAAGTCTGGATTTCTGCTCTGATTGTACCTTTAATTCTTGTCACCTGTGCCCCGGCCAGGCAGGAGGAAATCTGAGACATGGCGAAGACGATTGTGTGGAGACTGTCCTCAGGAAAACTCCCGACACGGGTTTTATTATCCTTCTGTGACAGGACAGCCAGTGGGTCCGGCTGCCTGTCACTGCTGGAGCCCATGAAGCAGAGACGGGCTTGAATCATGTGGGAGCGTTTATTCCAGTCCTGCCGGCAGCATGGGAGAGCAGCAGAGGGACAGCGATGGCGTGGGGAGCAGGATGACAGGCGTGGGGAAGTGGGCGTTCTGTAACGGTTTGAGGGCACAGGCAATGATGGCCGGCGGGGACGAGGGTGCCTAAGAGAGCCGGTACCTCTGTCGCCTCCGGAACAGACTGTTGAATCTTCTGTGACTGGCAGTTCTCAGAAAAGCAGGACGGGCTGCATTCTGACGCCAGCACCCATGTGCCAGGCTTACAACGCCCAGCCAGCTTAGCGTGTGCCTCCTCTGTCAGGACAGGACAATCCCAGTTAAGGGAGCGTGGTC